TTTTGCAAAGACTTCCGCTCAAACCGGTGCTAGGTACCATCTTAAACTTCAAGTGAGGCGAGAGTTTTTGTTTTTTTTTTTGTTTTTTTTTTTGCTATGTATTTAAGGCCTCACTGAGACTTTGAGATGAAGAACAGCAATAAAACCGCTGTTCATTTGCTTTTTGTGTGTATTTTGCTGAGCATGTACTAATTTTGTGTCATGGATGGATACCCCATATTCTTTGTTTTTTCTATTATAAGGAGACCAACAATTATAAGATTGATGAATCTTAAATCATCTACAATTATGAAGATTACACTGTATGAATTAAAACGATAATTAGTTGATATGACAGTTATGACCTTTTGACTCTCTACATTACACTTCCACACAATATTATCAACAGGTGTTCTGTACCGAAAAGGGGAAATTGTGCTAGTTATTTCAAATGTAAGCGATACATTCGTCCTAGTAAGAAGTCCACAGATTTATTTTCCTATGTTCAATATATCCATGCATGTCCTCAATTTTACTGGAAATTTCTTGTTCTAAAAAAAAATCAAGAAGATGTAAACGTCATATATAATGCATTATTCGTATTATTTTCTCTTATGTTAACAATTAAATGTGTCATTTCAATGTTTCCAAATTTTGTTAAGCATACGTTGATATTTCATTAAAATATTTCCACAAAACGTGTTTCTGAATTTTTTAAAATTATTTCGGACTTATTTTCCTAGTAAAATTAAACATAGACTTTTATCATGTTCATAACTAGGAAACTTATTTTTTATTATTTTACTATTCAAATTTAAAATAAATAAACAGAATTTTAAAGAAATGAAATTTGAAGGTACTTATTTTCTAAGCGAAATTGATAATATGGACTCTTCTAACTAGGAAACTTAAATTTTCCGTTTTCATTTATCAAACTATTTATTCATTTTCAAAAGTGTTTTAGTATATTTTAATGTTTTTTAAAAAATCTTCCTGAAAATGCATGGAATATTTGCAACTGGATGTTAAGAAAACAATGATTGATCAAATTTAAAACAAAATTAAAGATCATTTCAACAAATGTAATATGGTGTTCATTAATGGAACCATACTTGTTTGATTTTTATATATTAGATTAGCAAATGCTAACGTTGGTTTGTTATTTAAATGGAACAGTAATGAATAATTTTAGTTATGCTAATGGCACAGTTGCTGGGCTGACAATACTTGTATCTATTTGCGAAGAATATGCTTATAAACATATTTTGTGTTAATGTCGAGAAATATATGTGCATGATTTTCAAGACAAGTATATTTTAAAAGATTTAAAATTTGGACAAAGTTTATTCATGTGGCAATTTATTAGAATATGTTGATATATTTGAATATTTTCAACATACGGCTGGTGATGATTTAAATGATGTTTGTTATCAAATTATATGAAGGAAGGTTAATATGTTGAAGCGAAAATTTAACAAATTTAATGTTCTACGGGTGTTTAGATTCAACTTTTTCAATCTTATTATATGAATGTCTATCTTGTATCTGTATGGTCTAAATGTAATTCAAATGCGAGTGATTTTAAAATGATGCTTTCGTGATATTATTGGGATTTGTATATAGATGTAGTGAGAGTAATATGTTTGTCATAAATGAAGTTATATAAAAATAAAAAAGATATGGTATGATTGCCAGTGAGACAACTAGTTTATGTACAAAACAATAAACGAAAAAGATATGATAAACAGCAACAAACGACAACAACTGGATTACAGGCTCCTGACTCGGGACAGGCACCTACAGAATGTGGCGGGGTTATAAATCTTTCAAGGAAGTTTTGGGAAATTCAATGTTTCAATTTTGTCTGTAGCATCGTTTGAGAATATTTGGTTAATACATGCGTAATTGTATTCTTCAACATGGTTAAGAATATGGTACAATGAGTTATATCCGATTTTTTAACTACAATTAATGCTGTAAATATTTGAATACTGTATCCTATTTAGACAGAAAATTTTCTGTTATGTTTAAAATTGAGAATGGAAATGGGGAATTAGTCAAAGAGAAAACAGCCCGCTCAAAGAGCAGAAAACAGCCGAAGGCCACCAATGGGTCTTCAACACAGCGAGAAAATCCCGCACCCGGAGTCGGGCTTCAGCTGGCCCCTAAACAAAAAAGTGTACTAGTTCAATGAAAATGGACGTCACACTAAACTCAAAAACATATAAATGAACTAAAATTAAAAAACATTCAAGACTAACAAAGGCCAGAGGCTCCTGACTTGGGACAGGCGCAAAAATGCGGCGGGGTTAAACATGTTTTGTGAGATCTCAACCCTTCCCCTATACCTCTTGCCAATGTAGTTTAAACAAACACACAGCAATACGCACAGTAAAACTCAGTTTAAAAGAAGTCCGAGTCCGATGTCAGAATAGGTAACAAAAGAAACTAAGCAAAATGACAATGATACATAAATTAACAAAGGACTACTAGCAGTTACTGACATACCAGCTCCAGACCTCAATTAAACTGATTGGAAGATTATGTCTTCATCATATGAAAATCAAGCACAATCCCTCCCGTTAGGGTTTAGTATCATACCATCATATAATATATGAGAAGAACATAACCCGTATCATGCCAATAATGTGTTTATTTCCGATGCAAAGACCCTATGAGTAAATCAATATTTATACCAAAATATGCCATCTTTAATGACTGTATACTACTAGTACGTGGACCTTTTGATTCTGAATAAAGATGTTCTTTTCTTATCTTATCTTATCTTAAATCAAGTTGTAAAGGGAGAAATTTTCAAGTAAAAAAGATGGCATGGACTTCTGTGTAAACTGATTTCTGTCAAACAATAAACAGCAATCCAAGTGTTTTGTATTCTGTGTGTAAATAGGAAGCCGGAGTTTCGTTCCTAGGTAACCAGTCCATGTTCATTTTTTTGCCAAAAAAAAATGAAGTATCTGAAAAATTGCCTACAAAAGTAAGTGACAGACATATTTTACTAACAATGGACTCATTTTCCTAGTAAAATTATAAACATGTACTATCAATAAGTCTGTTGACACTTTTTTCTACCGGGCTGAATTTACTATAACATTTACACATATCTGCAATTGTGATGAGATGATTAAAGCTGTTAATTTTACTATTTTCAATTGTAACAAATTATTATCTTTTTAGCCAAAGGCAAATAGATTGAAACATTTAAGGACGAGACTTTCTTTGACATAACCCTGGTTCATCAACTCTCTGCTCAGACACTGTTCACTTTTTATAAAGTCTGAGTAGTAGCTGCAAGCTCTTGAATACCGAATGAGTTGGGAAATGTATATCCCATATGCAGGTGAAGTTGGTATATTTCTTCTAAGGTAGGGGTGATTGATAATTTAAAATCGTCTCGTTTGTCATAGATTTTGGTACTGAGATGACCGCTTATGTCAAATTACAGGTATAAGTCTAAAAAAGGAAGCCGTGTCTGTTGTTTCTTTAATTTCTAGTTCTGGAGGATATATTTATCGAACCAAATCAGAAAAGTTTGGATTGTTAATGGAAAGAACATCATCAATATATCTGAATGTGAAATTAAATGATCTGGCTTCTTTGATCTTCTTGTTTTTGACAAGTGTCTGAAGGAACTCCGACTCATGTGAAAATAAGAAGAGGTCGGCAAGGAGATGCGCACAGTTCGTTCCCATAAGAATGCCGACAATTTGTTGAAAAAGTCTACCTCCAAATTCAACAAATATGTTGTCAATAAGAAACTCCAGCATACTTATCATTTGTTCCTCTGTGTAGCATGTTTTACCTTTTTGCTCACTATTAACAAAATATACCGTATGGCATAAACTCGTACAGTCACTAAATCAACTCATCAACAATCATACCAACATATGAAAAGGAACGGAATTTTATTCTTAATGAAGCATGCATTCAATGTAAAAACTTCCCTTATATTTCAAAGTATGAACAATTTATTTGGTTAATGTCACGTGAGTCTGAAAATGTTAATATGTCAGTGTCAAGATTTACAAGTACTTGTATTGAAATAAGAGAAAATTTGCATTCCAGTAACTAACTAAATATTCATGTAGTAGTGATGTAGTTTATTTATTTTTATGTATTAGAGAGGGTTAATATTCTATTTTATTTATTTTCAAACACCATCTGGTATGGAGTATAGTTATTTAATCATTTATTTTAAATGTAATATGTCTTAAAAATTACTGTATAATTAATACCAGAGACATTGTATTATATGTCTCTGTTAATACTATATATATATGTATATGCTCGGAAACGGGCCCTTTAATTGGATTCAATAAATATTCTTATTCTTATTCTTCTTATTCTTACCAACAACCGAAGTTCAATGCAACAAAGCCGTGACAGTTTTAAATTCTCATTCATTTTAAAAGATTAGAATAAACTACAACTCGAAATCTCTAACCAAAATTTCAATGACAACTTTTAGGATGGACTCGACTCACTCATGAGGTCCTCCTTTAAACTTTCTCTCATCTATAAACTAAATGTGCTTGTTGTTTTTATCTTTATATACATAAAATATGATGTAAAAAAATTAAAAGTTCAACAAAACTTGTAAACACGGTTTCAAAAAAGAAAAGAAAATGTGTAATTACAGAATTATTAACTTTAAATCCAACCTCAAACAATCTTCAAAATATTGACGGATTTCCGTATCAGATGAAGAAGAAAACACGTCACGGAAATGGATATAGCAAACACGTTCCACGAAAATAACCCTTTACAACCACTGACAACGGTTGTAAACTGGGTTAAAGTAAATTATTTGAGGTGTGTGGGTTTCAAACATTCCATACAAGCGAGCGGTTCAGTTTTCTTTCTCTTTTGCTTCTTTTTTTTTTTAAACGTGTAGGGTTTAAGTTGCATCACACAGTAGCCAATTAAAATTGAGAACGTTTGATTACGAATCAGAGTCTGTTTGACGTTTTTGATAAAGGGAAAAAATATCCAAATTTTAAAATCCGCAATGATAAGAAAAGTAAACAAATCTGACAAATAACCAAAAGGCCGTTTTGAATTCTCTCAACATGTACGCGCAAATATTTACTGTCTCGATTTTTTGTTTGTCTTGTTACTGTTATGAAGAGGATGCTTTGAAGCAGGCCTTAGGTGGAGGACTTACAGAAGGACTGGAAGACCTCATGACCTCGTTTGGCGAGGCAATAGACGGATTGGCTGATTTAGCTGAAGGGAAAACGATCGAATGCAAATACAAATGTAGAAACGGTACTGTATTTAATTCTATTTTATTACCGGTTAGTGACCACCGTCATCAGGTTGACTATTCGGTTCTCTTTTATGTATATCTACATGCAGCTGGTCCTTTAGTATAAGTTAATCACTATAAGGAAATATCTGAGAATTGTCAAAAAATATCATAAGGACCTACATGTAAGTCTAAGAGCTATGGTTCCACAACTAGCCCTAGTCCTATTATATAAAACCTCGGGGGCATTTTTTTCTATATCTGTTTATTTTTGATATTTTGTTTTTATTTAGTTTTAATTTTCTAATTTCTGATTATCTATGTGCCACTCGCATAAAAAAAATGAAAATATCAGTATAAAAAACATTAATTAACGAAAATATAATGCAAAGGTATATATTATAGGACTAGTAAATGCCCCTCCCTCTATGGGCCTTAATAACCATCTCATGACACAAATGCCTGTGCTTAGCAGTCAGAAGAACTACAGTTTGCAGTACAACGACAAGAACTCTCAAAAATTCAATACACCTTATCGCTATTTGTCCGCCATAAGTGGACTTCACAAAGGTTCTCTTAAAATTTGATGTCACAATAGAAAATGTCTGATGCCACAAAGGAAAAGTGATTGTTGTATGATGTCAGTAGTTCAAGTGTCGCAGATTTCCAGGTCAAGTGTTGCAGATATCCAAATAGTGATAAGGTCTATATGAACCTGAGAACTGATAGATAATATGAGGCAGGCGTTACCTGTGAAAGGGGACGAAGTCTGTATTCTTATATTATTTTTTTAATTTAAGCATATTTTAACTTCCGAATCTGTTAAAGAAGAAACGGAAATACAGAAACGTATGGGTCCTTTTGTTAAGATTTAAGTTGTCATTTTCAATGTAAACAAAGAAACGCTATCATCAGGTTACATTTTTTTTTTCATATCAAAGAATTACCAAAAAAGCAGACAATATGATGCTCCTTCATATTTTACAAACGAGACCGGAAGAAAGAAAGAAATTTCTGCGCAAATGCGGGAAAATAAAAAAGTTAGAAAATAAAAAGTTAGCGATTTTGAGTTCATTAGTACATGTACATTGTAGATTGATTTTTTTTTTTTTTATTGATTTTTCTACTGTTATTGGGGACTTCATCCCCATAATACCAGAAAACTTTACTATATATGGAATAATTCTGCTTTTATAGATAATAAAGTCTATAATTTTGAGATATATGTCATTTCTATTTAAAAGAGTACAATTTAAACTTCATGAATACGATTTGTGTTCTTTTATGCAAATTTCCATCTGGACTCTCAGTCTCAGGTGGACGTACTTATTCAAACTTGATCACGGACTGATAAAGTATGCTTGTGCCATGTGAAGGGTACCTTTGTAGTTGTAAATATTCCTAATCAAAATGAATAACTATATTGTTTAAAATTTATAACATATAAACACAATGTAATGGTTACCTACATGTACCTTTTGAACAATTACGTCCGCCACATTGTAGTAAACAAGGAACTTGCATTCAAGACACACAAGTTGAATTCCTAAAGTTAAATTATACTTTATTAAGTAAAAAGACAAATATCTCAAATTAAAGTCATAATTATCAATAAAAGCAGTATAACACCATATAAAATAGAGTTTTTGGTTTATATCTATCAGTTCTCTGGTTCATATTGAGTTTTTTAGAGTTCTCGGGAAATCATAATATTGTAACCACATTTTTGTACTTAAACAAATCATTCTATTACATGTATTACTTATTGTTTAGTGATAAGTTAATTATTGTAATTGCCTTTTGAATTGATTTTCATGTTTCCTTCTTCAAATAATGATTTCATGAATTTTTCACTAAGTGACAATTTTTTCTGTTAATATTTGCTTTGATGCAAGATGTTTTGGCCACACTACCAGGTGGTCCATAGATGTTTCGGCCATGCTTTTTTTAGTCATAAGGCAGGGAAAGTAAATTGTTTCCACGAACAGATGTGAAGAAACAAATGGGAAAAAAATTTAACTATATAATTATATTCATTGTGAAGAATTTGTATCAATTAATTACATGTATGAATTTGGAATATTCGTAAATGGACAATTATAAATATTAAAAAAATCTTTAAAAGAGAAATATATACATGTACCGAACAGTGAACACAATATGATGATTATTTAAAAGTAAAGAAAATTGCTAAGTCCTCACCATTATGACCCCTCTGATCATTAGTATTTTTAATGATCATTTCTCTGATATTTCTGAAGTAGTGAAGTATTAATTATGCTTTTGTCAAGTACATGTAATTGTGGAGGAAAAATACCAAACAAGATAAAGTTCTATATTTTAAAACAACAGGACCCATTCTGAGATCAAGTTATAGTGGGTGGATATATTCTTATAAAAATACAATCTGTTTGAAAAGCCCTTTGAAGTTTTGAAATAATTATCCACAGACACAAGATAAAGATGTGAAAAATTAATAGTCACTATATATATATATATGATGAAATTAATAGTCACTATATACATATATATAGGATGAAATTTGAAAAAAAGGCAGGACAGGAGTTTTGAGTAAAAAAAATGGCAGGATGAGCAACTTGGCAAAAAAAAAGGCATGATGAGCAACCAACTTGGCAATAAAAAAAGGCAAGATGACAATTTCTGTAAAAAAAGTCAGGATAAACTACATGTAATAAAAAAAAAGGCAGGACTGAATAGAGTTAAAAATAAAAAGGCAGGACAGAGGTTACAACTAAAAAAAAACAGGACAACATTTTTCATCCTAGCCCCCCCCCCCCCCATAAAAATCAAATGGTAGCTCCCTAAGGCATAAGTGTCAATAAAAGTTCAATGCAGTGGAATTAGAGGCAGATGTTGGTGTCTAAGTCTTTGTCTTTCATACTTATGTTCATTATGGAATAACTGTTAAATGATTGTTTCAATTTTTTTTTCGAATGAGACTATTTTTTTTGTCAGCAAGTTATTCTCTGCTAACAAAAATATGTAAATCAAGTACCAAAGTCAAATGGAAAAGTTATTATTTTCTTATCCAAGTGCAATGTAAGAAAGTCTTGTATCCTTGTATTTCACAGCAAATGCACACTTTATGATACAATGCATTTGACTTTTTGTTAAATAATATTCCTTTTCAAATCTTACTTCTCTCATAGCATGTAAGGCATATACAATTTATGAAATTTGGTGACCAAAAGATCACAAAAGCATTTGGATACATAGATCAGTTATTCCTGTCTTGATAACAGTGTTATATATCAATTTCAGTAGTGTGCTAGCCAGTAAGTTATTGTGCTTAAGGTTTTAAAAGCACCCATGGGAAGTTTTCTTGCTTTTAAGACATTTTGGCCATACACCACTTCACCCTTATGTCTTTTACACCATGTACCAGTTTGACCATGGTTGTTCTAGTCAGTTACCAATTAAAAGATACCTATGACCAGGGACAGTCTATACTTAGTATAGACTGGTATAGACTGTCCCTGCTATGACATATAAGTTTACCTGTTAGAGACCCTTATTTAAAGTGTACAAGTCTGAGAATGTATTGGTCCAGAAACGCTAAGAAATACAAGAACACACATATAGACAAATGTGAAAAGATTTCTTAAAAGCATTAGTTAATTTTGTTTATAGTTAACAATCATCCTAAAATATTTATGAAACTTTCCTTCTGTTTAAATTGGTCAAACTTTAACATGAAGCCAAATTTTTTTTTATAAATATATAACTAATATTTCAAGTGACAAAAATTATATGTAAGGAACATTCCTATAATTTAACAATTTTTCATTGTTGCTAAAAAGTGTTTACACAATTTCAGAATACATTGTACTGATCATGACATGTTTTTCACTAATTAATAAGTACATTAAATTATTTAGATTATATAAACACAGATTTGTCAAAAACTTTTTGTAAGAGTATTGTATTGTTATACAATCATATTACTAAATAAACACCCGAAGGGGTATGTCACCCACAATTGTAGAAATGAAAAGACTATTTATTGTAATATAGACAAATTGGTATTATAATCTAAATATTTATATGTACTTTTTAAATAGTGAAAAACGTGTCAGTACAATGTATTCTGAAATTGTGTAAACACTTTTTAGCAACAATGAAAAATTGTTAAATTATAGGAATGTTCCTTACATATGATTCTTGTTACTTTAATTAGTGACAAACATGCCAGTACAATGTATAAATCTTTCTCAATACTACTATGAAACTACATTGTACATTACATGTATCTCTACCAATCTGTGTAAAAATAAGCTGAAAAAATTCTTTTGCCCAGTGTTACCCATTTTTATATGACCGCAAAAAAATTTTTGTGGTCGTATATTGGTATGACGTTGGCGTCGTCGTCGTCGTCGTTGTCGTCGTCGTCCAGCGTCGTCGTCCGAATACACATTAGTTTTCGCACTCTAACTTTAGTTTAAGTGAATGGATCTCAATGAAATTTTACCATAAGGTTCAATACCACAAAAGGAAGGTGGGGATTGATTTTGGGGGTTATGGTACTAACAGTTAAGGAATTAGGGGCCAAAAAGGGGCCAAAAATAAGCATTTTTGTAACTTCCAGACATAACTTGTGTGTAAGTATATGGATCTCTCTGACATTGTACCACAAGGTTCCATATCACAAAGGGAATGCTGGGATTGATTTTGGGGGTAATTGCCTCCAAATTTTAGGAATAAGGGGCAAAAAAGGGGCAAAAAACAAGCATTTTTCTAGTTTCATGACAATAACTTGTGTGTAAGTGTATGGATCTCTCTGACATTGTATCACAAGGTTCCATATCACAAAGGGAATACTGGGATTGATTTTTGGGGGTAATTTCCTCCAAATTTTGGGAATTAGGGGCCAAAAAGGGGCAAAAAACAAGCATTTTTCTAGTTTCAGGACAATAACTTGTTTGTAAGTGTATGGATCTTTATGAAATTGTACTGCAAGGTTCCATATCACAAAGGGAAAGCTGGGTTGGAGTTTGGGGGTAATTGCCCTAAACGTTTAGGAATTAGGGGCCAAAAAGGGACAAAAAAACAAGCATTTTTCTAGTTTCCAGACAATAACTTGTGTTCAAGTGAATGGATCTCTCTAAAATTGTACTGCAAGGTACCATACCACAAAGGGAAAGCTGGGATTGAGTGTGGGGGCGATGAATCATAAGGGGGTTCAAAAAATTTGGGGGGGGGGGATTTTTTTTTCCTTTTTTTTCTTTAAAATTTTCCATTTTAAATTGGTTATTTCTGATTTATATATAAAAGCAAATAATAATGATATGGTTTGAATAGCATACATGTGAACCTCCCGACAGGAGTACAATAATCCTGTTTTCAGGAGTCTCCTCCCGACTTCCGGTTGAAGAGGAAAATTATAATCCCGTGTATGAAATTTTTCATGAATGAAAAATTTCTGCCCAACATATCATCTCAGGCATCTGGTGTAACTCACATTACCTGAAGTTATATTTTACCTGTAAATCAATTAACATGCATAATTATATGGCTTCACTTGTCAGTTTGGGTGTCAAACATACTGGTAATCAATGATTTTTTACCTCAGGCTAACTGCCGTTGTGTAACAAAAACTGTGTATTTATTGGGTTACTTCCCTTGATTTATCTTGTTTTAAGTTACTTTCCTTTTAATAATGAAAATTTTTAAAAGAATATAAATAAAATATAAATTGAACAAATAATCATAAAAGGATGGTAAATAAATGATTTTAAATGTCTTAGGACAAATAAAAAAATAATAATTTGAAAATTATTTGAGGATTCTATACTTCCTTTCAAGGCTTAAATTGAAATTTATATAATAACTATGACCCTTGTTTTACAGTTAGAATGATTTTCTGAGTATGCAAACAAAAGCTATTTGCAGATAGTTAAACAAATGTTCTGGTTGCAATAAATGTTTTATAGAATATGAAGTAAAAAATTTAAAGAACATACTGAAAAAAAAAATGTTAGATTGAACATGTAAAATATAAAGATGGAGAAACTTTATAAGTACAAGGGTACTATAAACATAATAAATTGGATGGAAAGTTGAAGAAAACACACTTTAAAAGACCATTTTTACAGCACACGGTTACATTTACGACAAAATTTATGTCGATTAAAAACCTCCTGATCTGAGTCCTAATCTCCTGACCAAAATTTCTCAATCTCCTGATCTGAGTTTCACAGTCCATCACATGTATGAATAGGTAAATTAAAAAATTATAAGTTCTTAGACCACTTTCATTCTGTGTCAGAAACCTATGCTGTGTCAAATATTTAATTACAATCCAAATTCAGTGCTGTATCAAGCTTGAATGTTGTGTCCATACTTGCCCCAACTTTTCAGGGTTTGACCTCTGCGGTCGTATCAAGCTGCGCCCCAGCGGAGCATTTTATTGAAAACTTAAAATGAACTGACATGCTTCAGCTTTTATAGGTACATGTATAAGGCAGAAAATCAAAGGGATTACTCAATATTGTGTACAATGTATATGATTTTTGGCATTTTTGTCTCTACTGCGACTTGTTGCGGAAGGCGAGACATAGGTATTGCTTTTTTGGCAAAGTTATAGGCATCAACAATTGTTAAGTTTACTGCTGTAGTTAGTTTGATAGGAACTACTTGTGATAGATCTATGATATTTTCTATAAAGTTGCATTACTATCAGTACATATCAGATTGACAACTATTTCAAGGCGCTTTCCAAGTAGGGTAGTGTAGGTCATGGTCCAATGACTTTCAATTAACTACCAATTTTCAATGTTAATTTTTCTGCTTAAGTTAGTTCGATAAGAACAACTTACAATAGACAACAATATTTTCTATAAAGTTACATTACTGTCTGTTCATCTCAGTTTGTCGACTATTATGAGGCCCTGCCCACTAGTTCATGGTCCAGCGTCTTTGAATTATTTAACGATGTGACAGTTGCTGTCCATTGATTGTCTTTTTCAGAATTTTGTGCTGACAGGTGAGACATATCTCTGTGTCAACAGTTTATATATAATAACATTAGTGGTTCTAATGTTACTGCACCAAATGCACTGACAATAAATGTCTCTTCAGGGATGCTGGAGACCAAAATAATTGAATATCCAAAACTAATTAAAAATAATTAAAGCACTGATACATGTAAATCAATAAAATAACTAGCAGATTTCATTTGTGCCAAAAAAATATATATTATAAATCCACTTATTCAAAATACAACAGGATGATGTTTTATTTGTTCCTAATTCAAAGAAGAAGAGTAAAGGACCAACTCTGACCTGTCTAATTAATGCTGTATCAATGAAAGGAATCTCAAAGAGCAGGTTCTGGAAATCATGCCATTTTACACTCCAATATTTGTCACTGACTCCTTAGTTGATTATTTACAGGATTAACAATTGTGAACATGTTAAAAAACATTGATTGATTTTGTGCAATGTGGACTAATTATAAGTAATTCATACAGAACAGAACTACATTCATGACAATGAAAACAGAAAAGAAAAAAGGGAAAAAATTCAGTCCAGATTAAAAAATTCATCATAAATGATATTACTCCTTAAAAATACAGGTCTAAATTTAGAGATATGTAATATTGGAGATAACAATACATGTTCCTGTATATCATAAATCATTAAAATCTGATACATGTACATGTCTTTAAAATTTAACTGGATAGTTTAAATGGAAGATGTGTTGAAGTGTGTGAATGATTTTCAATACCACATGTATTTGAAATGCAACTTCTGAAATTTTCCTCTTTTAAACCAAGAGTGTGTTTCTCTTCATGAAATATGCTAATTTTCATGTTGCAAATGTACTATTTATATATATATCAGTATTAAATTTATAATTAAGATCCATTTATTACATCGGTGATCCGTTTATTTGGCAATCGCCAATGGCAGTCAGCAGGGTTTAAGAACATTTGTTGTTAGACCTGTTAGTCAAATGCGTTTTGTTAAAATATACTTTTTCACTTTTTTGGTCTCTCTAACAAGACATTTGTTTTGCATGCACACTTATAAAAATTGCGGTTTTTATCCAACGCAATCATAGGTTTGAACGTTGTTTTCAATTTAGACTTGTATATATATATATGTGTGTGTAGGACTTGGAGGTGCGATGGGGACGCTGAAGTGCGATGGTCTGCGCCAAAGTGCGAAGGTCCTTTCTCTGATGTGCAATGGTCTATAAGACGCGTGATGGCTAGTCTAAAATCTACAGATGGACAATTTTTATGAGAGCTTGAATTTTTTATAAGTTAGTATATAAATACCATTCATTCAATATTTTCTTTAGTTGCATTGCAGTAAAAAACATTGGTGATCCATATTATTCCTTGTTTTGATTCACAGCAGCCGAATAGATTTTTCATTTATTTTGTTTTGTTCTGACCAACCAAGAAGTATTTGCACTTCAAACAACTATCACATTTTTTCATCTATACCGGTAAGTACACTGCTAGTATTATAGTTTCATATATATCTTTAATTTACGCCTCCTTAAGCGGTGTTTGCAACATTTGAAATACAAAAATATATTTCACATCATGCATGTCCTTAGTTACAGTTTCATACAAAAAGAGAGATCTTCCTATTTTATTTTGCTACTCTCGATGATTTACTTCAAATCCTTAAAACGTGCTTCTAACAATCAGATTATTTTCTACATCGACGTGAACATGAAAAATATTGAAAATATTATTCATGTAATCGGTCGCCCTTCAGTGTAGTTATCAACAAGTTAATGTCACCATTGCACTTCAGCGTGTTAACCAACACACTTCAGCGTTAAACCATCGCACATTAGTGTGACCATCGCGGTTCGGAGTACCATCACGGTTCAGAGTCCTACATATATATTATTAAGCATGTTTGTAAAGGATAATTTTACTTACAAAAAAAACGTAAATCCTTAGCAATTTTTCTTTTCATTTCAGGAGTTAAAGCCAAGCCACACCCTAACCATAAACCGACATCTAATGGATGTGGATCATTTGGAATTGAGGTAGGGGAAATCAGAAAATCTAGCAACTGCTTGAATTTTGGCTGATCTATGTTTTTTACATCAATTAATTTAATTTGTCTAACTTTTCCTTGCTTTATTTTTCATTCTCGTTCTGGAGGCAATAAGGAATATATATTACTACAAATGTAGCACAAGGCAAATTTATTTAACTTGTGAACATAACTACAAACATAATGTTACTACAAATGTGCACAAGGCAAACTCAAAGCCTAAATCATGTAACAGTAAACATTACTACAAATGTAACTACAATGTACAAATGTAGCACAAGGCAAGTTCAAAGCCTAATTCATGTAATTGTTAACATTACTACAAATTTGCACAAGGCAAATTCAAAGCCTAATGGCATGTTAACATTACTATAAATGTAGCACAAGGCTAATTCTTGTAAATATAACTTGTGAACTTTACTACAAATTTAGCACAAGACTTGTTCATGTTACTTGTGAACAGCACGAGTCATGTCTTCTTTGACTGTCCATGACATTAAAACACTAAATCCCTGCGATGTGTTTTAGTTGATTTTTGTCTCTGATGCATGATTTTTTATTATTAATTGTTTTTGGCTTTTAACTAGCTTTCAGTACGTTATTTTATTTGGCAACATTTTGTCCAAGGTTATGGTTGTCTTTCTGATATTGTTAAACATCTAACCCCTTGTTTTATTAATTTTGTATTTACATTGTGTCATTGATCAAATTTATTCGTTCAGTGTATGTTCGTTGTTTTTGTTAATATGTCTTTTGATTGAGTTAAGCCATTTCAATTGATATTTTATAGTGTGTCTTTCTATGTTGTAATGTTACACTACTATTTCAGGTTAGGGTGAAGGTTGGCGCTTATTAAAACGTTTAAACCCGCTGCATTTGTTTGCACCTGTCCTAAGTCAGAAACCTGATGTTCAGTGGTTGTCGTTTGTTGATGTGGTTCTTAAGTGTTTCTTGTTTCACGTTTTTTATATAGATTAGACCGTTGGTTTTCCTGTTTGCCACTAGGCTCCGTGTTGAAGGCCGTACTTTGACCTATAATGGTTTACTTTTACAAATTGTGACTTGGATGGAGAGTTGTCTCATTGGCACTCATACCACATCTTCTTATATCTATTTACTATAAATTAAGCACATAGCTAATTCCTGAAAATTCTGAACATTAATTTTCTACAAATGTAGCATAAGGCCTGTTGACAATAAGACAGTAATGTTCTCTTATTATATTATAGTTTGATACAGGGAACTTGCCACAGATGACAGAATGTTGTGACACACATGACATATGTTATGACACATGTAATACTGATAAAGAGAAATGTGATAAGGACTTCAGACAATGTTTGATGGAGATGTGTGATAAACTTGGGGATGATTTAAATAAAGAAGAGGCTGAAGGTTAGAGTCTTTACTTGTTAGCTTAAATTTCTACATCTAATGTAAATACTATTGTGAATTCTCAAATGTACAGTTGTTCCTAAATTTTAATTTGCCATCAATGCTGAAAATTAAAAAAATGTTGTTATTTGATGATCTTTATATGTAGTTCATAATGGACATGTACATTTGTGTAATAAGATCTTTTTGCAGTTTACATAAGAATTGCTTAAAGATCAAATCCAAGCACAATTGTACTTGAAAAGTTCACACATAATAAATTTTGTGGAATTCTGCAAGGGCAAAGAAATAATTTTATTTATATAATAAATGTAGATGATTGTTTACTTCGTAATGAACTGATAACTTGCTCAATACATGGATTGAAATTAATCTGTTTACAAAAATGCATTTGTAAGCTAATTTTACCTTCTTATTTCTAAACTTGGACATATAATATTGTTATCATATATACACTATTTCTTTAATTGAATCTTTGATTTTGTCTGCTACTCTTTAAGCAGATTAAACAAGATTATAGTTGCTTTCAAACTTAACCTTTAGTTTCTGGTGGACAATTGTCTCATTGGCAATCATACCACATCTCCTAATTATCTTTATATGTATCCCTGTAATAAAGGAATATTTTGATGCATTTATGATTGTGATTATTGAACAAAGAACAAAAATATGAGATTTATTATTCTGATTTCTAAAAATTCTGCGTATTAATAATTCTATTGAAATTTATGATACAAGTTTTAATTTTTTTGAGAAAGTTTACTTGCTGCAATAGTAAAAACATCCTAAAAAAATTCTGAATTTGCAGGACTGAAGATATACTGACACTTTCTTTAGAAGCATTATTCAAAAGTGGTAGTTTTTTATTCTATTGAATTGTGAAAATTGTCTTAAATAAGGGCATTATATGGTACATGTATATACTTTGGAAGTTATGAGAATTGACTAATTGTATTCCCTGTTTTTGATTTCCAAGTGCCAAAATACATGTTTGGAAAAGGTATGTGTTTCATGTCATAATATAGTGCCTAGAAAATCAACATAACAATGTTACAGTGGTTTTGATTCTTTACTTCCTCCCCAACTTGGGATGGAACCTATACATTTTCCTCTAACCTGTATGGCAAAGCCACCTAGCATTGCACAACAACCTTCTCCTCTCCTCCAACTATAGCTGATAAAAATTGGTTATCGTCTTGGGAGGTTCATTTCATCATACATATATCTTTATTTATTTAAGTTATTGCCCTTTGATTATGTTTTTTAATCTAGCCAAATCATACTATTCCTTGGTTTCCTTATCTTAGTCTCTACCCCAATTCTGTTTGCTCTAATTTTGCTCGCAAATGTTTTTCCTACTATTGCTAAAAAAACCTGATTGACAACAATTTATTAAAGGGTCGTATGCAGCATTTTTTAAACATGCATTGAAAAATGCATAAATTTTATTATAGCTTCAAGTAATTGTTAACAAACTTTCCATGTACTGTTAATCTAACTGTTTGAACTATTGTCAGATTTTTTAAACATTCAATTACGAGATGGAATGTCTCATTTGATCAATTGATTATAAAGATTTTCCCTAGTTTGAATATCTCAACCATTTAAAACTTTTCAGTTACAATGAATCATCTGAGCAATATTAATATTGGTATCTGTGATTATTGTAGGTTGTGAAGCTACAGCAGAAATCATGTACCGAGGAACATTAGCTTTGGGTTGTACACCATTTAAGAAAGCTCAGAAGAATGCCTGTCTCTGCACTGACCAGCTATCACTTGATCAGAAAGCTGCAGAAAATAAATCTGGTACTAAAAATCATAAAGATGACAAGAAACCCAACGATAAAACAGCAAAACATCAAAAGAAGTCAGATAACATTCAAAAATCTAAAGTATCTCAACATCAGAAGAATTCTAATGAAAATTCAGAAAAGATATCTTCTGCTAAAAAAACTGATAATAAACAAGAGAAAGTTAAACCAAAAACAAGCAGAGAGAGTGGAGATTTATGATGATTTCGTAAACATCATTTGTTTAGTTTCTGTTTTATTCCGTCCTCAGTTTTCACATAACATTCTATTTGGAATGGCTTGCAATATTTATTGAATTATTGTCAGTATAGGCAGTAGTAATGTATAAGAAGGATATTTGAATTCAATGCTAATGTTGTTCTTTTTAGTTACACTGACAATTGCTGTCAACAACTTTTGAATATACCTACAACATAATTTTTTTGTTAGATACCTACTGAAGATTTTCTATTTTGCATTTATTGATTCTGTGTCCTAGTTTTGAAATACTAGATACAAAATTATTTTGTCTCTCGGAATAAGAGACTTTTTTATGCGATATACTATATACTGCTGGTGTCAGCATAATTCTGTAAAATGTTAAACTTAGCATGATTGTAATATATGTATGAATTGAATAATTGCTGTTAGTATACTAGTTTTTTATATGCACAATATTTTGATATGAATGAAAATTTTTTCGCTTTCTGTGATATCTGGATCAAAGTTATTTAGCATACATGTCTTTAAGAGTGGTTATTACATACATACTTAATAGTGTTGCTAGATAGTTTATTTTTATGGTTTTGCACAGACATATTTATGATTTTTCAGTGAAATGATATGTAATATATTGTTATTTTTTACAGGTATAATCAATCATGGATGGTAGGAAAATTGAAATATTTTTCCAAAATAAATAGAAAAATTAAGCATAACACTTGTCAAAAATAATGATTTTACATACATGCAATGTTGGATAAATTGGTATTTCTTTCTTGTATATGTTTTTGACAAGTTTTTGTTTATTAGTCTATTTTGCTATATGTATAACATCTATGTTTAATGGGTTGTTTCAGGTATATATATTAAATTTGATTATTTTCATTTTTGGGTGTATGTTTTGGTAATCTGTATAAATGTTGGTGTTTATGATGTAATATTTATTGTTGTATTTCATTGTTATTTTTCTTTCGCTTTATGACTTACTTCCCTAATGCTTACATTTTGAATTGTGTAAAAATATACATGAAACATATTTAAGAGACATATGCTTACATTTCACATAGTCCTCTGTACTTTTATCATTGCATGGCCTTGGGAGCAGTATTTTTCTTTATTATTAAGATATATTTTACTATTTAAGGAAATATATGTATTCTCTAGCAAAAAGGTTAAAAAAACTAAAGTTCCTTGAAAATTCTTAATATGTTTATGGTATGAGAAGTTAGTTTTAAATTTTTTTGTACAAATTTGATGGCTGCTCGTGAAAGATGATGATTCTTTGAAGGAACTTTTGCCATAAAATTGGCTTAAAACTCAAATATTTTTGTCCATATAAATCTGGTGGTCATTGGTGATGGGATCAAATATTAAAAAGAAGTATAATTTTGAAGTTTCTATTTAATGAACTTGAGACATTACATAATTTTAGTTTTTGACTACCACTTATGTCAACTTTAAGTTTTCTGTTCAGTAACCTAAGATTACCATCACCAAACCAATTTTTGCAAGAGGTCATGAAACAGAATAAGTTAGATTGAGACATATTTTGCTATTGGAGTCTTTTAGTTTAGATATTAGTGGTCAGTAAATTTTTATAGATATTATCACATTTTAAAAGGTTATTTACAATCATTTCTGGTTCTCCACAATCACTTTTTTGATCTTGCAGTTATTTCAATTATTTCTTGTTGATAATCATACAGTGTATATCCTGATCTCAATTTGTTGATATAAATAATAAAAATTTTGGTTATGTGTTCCAATTTTAAAACAGTCTTCCTCTTTTACTAACTTCACACCATATTTGACATTTACACATTGTGTATTGTTTCTCCTATTTTATTTACAATTGTTGTTTTGGTGGGAGTTGCTAGTAACTCTGTGCTACCATGACTACTCCCCTAGTTTTCATTTCCATTGATACTTGCATCACTAGGAGGCATTATAAAAGTGATCTATTAAATCTGGTGTGCCTTCTGACATGACCTACAAGGTAAAATATATCTGTCTTGAAGTCTCCTTACTTTTCTATTTGTTTATCATTGCTCCTCTATTTTATCATGGTTGATTATGTTCAATTATAGGTATTGATATATAGTTGCCAATCAGTCTTAAACATGAACAAAATTAAATACAGGGGTAATTAGTTAATCCACAATGTTAAGGATTTGAGCTGTGTCCGATAGAAATCGAGATTATGCAAATGAATATCTATACATCTGTTAATATGTTGCTTTTAGATAAATGGACTCAAAAGAAGTCCATCTTGATTTGCTGTAGTGGTATCATGCCAAAACTGAAAACAGCCCTTTATTTCTGCCAGTTTGAATAAATACATATTGTTTTGAACAATACATTGTAATTTTAAGATAGAATTTTATGTATTCAGAAAGACTGGAAATTAAATCTGTTAAGGATTTGAGCTGCCTTGCATAGAAATCGAGATTATGCAAATGAATATCTATACATCTGTTAACTTATTTTGGGTTGAAAAAATCTCTATGCAAAATCTGTAGCTGTTTGAAAATTGAGTTGATATAAGAACCCTACAAAACATTTATCTTTTATTTTGTATTTTAATGTTCCAAAATCAATCAAATACTTATAGGTGTAATACCACCATTGATTTTCCCCTATTAGTCTTTGTTAAATTTGCAAAATTTCTTCAAATCAAGCCGCATCATGATAGAATATAGTGTGGACCAATAAATGATCAAACAGTTATCATATCTGCCTACAAACAGTTGAATACAAAAGATGACTCTAGGATGATAAATACCACTAATGGACCTCTTTGTCTTCATTATAAGGTCCCTTTTGGTACATTTATGCCTCTCATTTTCTCAAAATTTCAATTTTTTGGGCCAATAAATAAAAATTTTGGGGTAACTTTCACTCATTTATGAAAGAAATGTGATAATAAATGAGTAATTGAAGTATTCAAGCTGAATGAACTATCCGTATTAAAGTTGACTGACTCCATGGAGGTTTCAATAAGTCTTTACGTAAAACTTAAATTTACGCCACGTTCCAGAGAGGGACATAAAAAGCTTCCCTTTTAGTGAATAATTTATTGTTACTGCTTCAAAAATAATTTCATTTACTAATAACTATATATTTATTAAAGTACTACTTAGGAAAAAGTTTTCTATTATAGCAAAATATAAGAAATAAGGAGAAAAAGTCAGAAAAAGCTCCCCAAAACATTGAGTATGGCTTGCTCAGTCTACTAATATTCATGGTAGAGTCCTATTTCAAAGCAATTTTCTCATAAAATGTGTTTTTGAGACTCGATCTACTCAGAATATTTCATTTTTGTAATATTTCACTTAAATAGCATGAAATTTTAACAAATGAGAGTACACACAAGGTCAAAGGTGCATGTGCAGCTTCCCATAGTAGGTGTAATACCACCATTGATTTTCCCCTATTAGTCTTTGTTAAATTTGCACTTTTCAAAAAATTGTACAGAATTTATCTTTGTTTCAAATAAAGAAATACTTGGCATGAGTAAAGTTTTATCCTGTCCAGTACTATAGACAAAATTTCACATAACATTTCATTGCATATAAGAAAACCATCACTGGAAGTAAACCAATCAAATTTTCTCCCCTTTTTTCCTGTGTACAAGCTTGAGTAACCATGTAACCTCAAGTTTCCAAAATGTTCTATAGAAATACCAAATAAAAAAATAAGGGTTCTTTGAAACACCCAAGATATATGTTTATGACTCAGAAATTTTTTACTGCAATGAAATGTAGGATTAATTTCCTACTACTGTCAAATTCAAGGGAATATTTTTTTCTACCATTTTTCGTATGCAACCGGATGTGACGTACTATGATTTGGTGGTATTACACCTATACATGTATACATGTACTGGCATAAGGTCAATTTCTATCCGATGCAGCTCATTTCATAATGTGAATATTATAATAGTTTTCAGCTTCTTGGGATCATGTATTTATACTATATTATATTTATAAAGGTGTTCATCTTGTTAAAAAAGTTGATAGTTTTTTTAACTCACATTGTATTATGCAATTGATAACTAGTTATTTAAGTTTATTTGAATATATTTTTTTAATAAATATGCAAAACAGGACTGAAGACTTTTTATTGACATTTTTAATATTATCAACACGTTTCATTTTTTCACCTGGACGATGTTGGTTTAAAAATTTAACCAATGGATAGCCTATATTCTGAAGATTGTTTTTTTTAAGTATTAATTACATAAAGCATTACCAATTATTCTGCACCAAGTCCACATTTCCACAATCAATGCCTCATCAGTGATGCTTAAGGCTAAAATATTTGAAAATCCAAAGCTTAATACAAACATTGAAGAGATGTAATAACATAAAAGGACCAAAAATATAACCAAACTAGAACAAGGAATGAAAGTTATGCATGAGTGAGTTATGTAAGACAGCTTTCATCTGATTTGATTTAAAGGGCAATATCACTTCCTAAATTTACCTTTTCTTTAATGGAAATAGTAGTTTTACCATCTTGCATATATAAGTCTCATTATAATGTCACCTGACTATTGTCATTCCTCTGATCTTTTCCTTTGTTATTATGTCACCTTAAAACAAATGTTGGATGACATACATGTATTGCTATTCCTCTGTTTCTTCATTATGTCAGTGTGAATGAAAGTCAGGTGACTTATTTCTATATTCCTCTGAAACTATTGAACCAATTTTTGTCGAGCCTGCGACTTTTGTTGCAGAAAGCTTGACATAGGGATGGTGATCCGGCGGCGGCGTTAGCTAACTTCTTAAAAGCTTTATATTTTAGAAGGTGGAAGATCTGGATGCTTCATACTTTGTATATGGATGCCTCATGTTACGAAGTTTCCGTCAGTCACATGTCCAATGTCCTTGACCTCATTTTCATGGTTCAGTGACTACTTCAAAAAAAGATTAAGATTTTTTGTAATGTTAAATTCTCTCTTATTATAAGTAATAGGATAACTATATTTGGTATGTGCGTACCTTGCAAGGTCCTCATGCCCGTCAGACAGTTTTCACTTGACCTCGACCTCTTTTCATGGATCAGTGAACAAGGTTAAGTTTTGGTGGTCAAGCCCATATCTCAGATACTATAAGCAATAGGTCTAGTATATTCAGTGTATGGAAGGACTGTAAGGTGTACATGTCCAACTGGCAGGTGTCATCTGACCTTGACCTCATTTTCATGGTTCAGTGGTTATAGTTAAGTTTTTGTGTTTTGGTCTGTTTTTCTTATACTGTATGCAATAGGTCTACTATATTTGGTGTATGGAATGATTGTAAGGTGTACATGTCTAGCTGGCAGGTGTCATCTGACCTTGACCTCATTTTCATGGTTCAGTGGTCAGTGTTAAGTTTTTGTGTTTTGGTCTGTTTTTCTTAAATTATAAGCAATAGGTCAACTATATTTGTTGTATGGAAGAATTGTTAGCTGTACATGCCTGCCTAGCATGGTTCATCTGACCTTGACCTCATTTTCATGGTTCATTGGTCAATGTTAAGTTTATGTGACAGTTGTAATAAAGCTTTATATTTAGGACTATCAACATAATATCAATGATAAGTAAAGAAGGTGAGACATTTCAGCGTGTGCACTCTTGTTAAAAATTTGGAATGAATGATCCATGGGGTATCTAGTATAGCTTTTGTGTTATTTATTCTGGTCAGTCAACAAATATGGCACCATGGCTTTAAATTGTGCCTTTTATCTTGAAAACTATAATAGAAAGGTAGAAACTGTAAATATAAAAATGATCAGCTATAGAGGTGTCAGACCACCAGTTCACCGACTTCAATTTAGAATGTATGTAAAAGAAGCCCTTCCCTGACAAAAAAAATGGTGCTTTTGATGTCATAGTTCACTTAAACTAACAAACAAGTTTGCAGAAATGAAAGTTTTGTGAAAGAGAAATATATGTAGACCATTTCGAGCCACAATTTACTTGTCCATGAGTTTGCATTAAAAATTGAGGATTAATGCGCTCCATAGTATACTTATTTAAGATTTCAAGAAAACCAGGGGTTGTTTTTAGTAGTACTTGACTTCCGAAAGGTATTATTTCGCTACAAGACTTTAAACATTGGTTAAAAATTGGCATGTAGAAAGGTGATACATATACAATTCAGGATATACCTGGTTTCTCTGAAGTTAAACTTAAGGTAAAATATTTAGAAAGCTGTGAAAATTTCAAAATTTGTTTGAATAGATAGGGATTTTGAATTGGTGGTCTGACACCTTTAAAAAAAACTACAAAAATGCAAATATGACCAAAACCATCAGATGACTCATTGTAGGAGTTGGTGTCCTTAAATAACAATATTTAATTATTTTTTTCTCGAGTTTTGGCCTATTATCTCGAAAGTTATAATAGGTATGTAAACAGCCAAAATGATACAAGATCTACAAATTCTCATATGACGGTATTCATTGGTCAACTCATTTTAGGAATTGCTGTCGTTCAATAAAGATTTTGGACTAATTTTGTGGTTTTGCCGATTAACAGCAAAAATGATCAACAAAACAAGATATATGTTTGCCAGGTGAGCTATTCATTGTTTTTGTCTTGCTTAGTTCTCAAAGATTATTGGACCAGTGTTGACGTCTCTCACGTCATCAAAACGATAACCACCCATATGTAGATTTGCAGTTTGACTTTGGAATTTAAAAAATGGCCACCATTATAATGGAAGTTGGCTGTCATATGTAGAGGTGTAGACAGTATTCAAAAATTCCGAAATGGCCACCATTACCATGGAAACACTGGAAGAGTTATTGCTCCTATATGACGATTTTCTATTAATTTTCGAGTTTGTGCCTTTTATCTCGAAAGCTATAATAGAAAGGCCGAAACCGTAAATATAAAAAAAAAATCAGCTAAAGAAGATCTACAAAAATGCAAATACATGCTTAAAAGTAGCATTATCGTATTTTGTTTTTTTACATCAAACCCATTGTAAATTTATGGAATTGTTAACTGTAATGTATAGATTTGAAATGAAACTAAAAATATCAAACTTAGCCACTGTTCAACGCCATGGAAACAGCAAAAATGTGAAAAATTGAAATATGTTCCAAACTTAATGAAACTTTGCACAAATGTGATCTGTCATGTTCAGATTTGAATTTGATGTTTGGAATTTCTAAAATGGCCGACATTGCAATGGAAACAGCCAAATTGTGAAACATAGGGAAGTGCACCAAACTAAATAAAACTTTTCATAAATGTGACTTGTCTTGCATATGTGTGCAGTTAATGTTTGTAGGCTATCGATACCATTAACTGCAAGGTCGGGTGAAATCAGCAGTGGCTTGAAATTGCAATTCTAATTATTATTCTTTCTTTTTTCACCACATGAACTGGTATGTGGCAGTTCTCAGAAACCATAGCCCAATTTCTCCTGAAGGTTGCAAATTGTAAGGAATTTTAAGTCAAAAGAGAATGGGGTTTCTCATAGAAATCTGTTGGAAAAATTTAATTGTGTGTTCAAATTGTTTTAAATCACATAATTAGCTATTCCTGCCGATCATATGTCAAATTGATTATACAATAAATTGTCTCTTTCAATTTCAATTTTGGTAAATATTTTTGAAAAAAGGTACGTAGCAACTATGTATTTTTGGAACATACACTCCATAGCTTTTAAATGGAACCATTGGATTTCAAATGATTTGATACCAATTCTAGTAAAGTTTGTTAGAACGGTATCAATTGAGAAACAGTAAGTTACATCTATTAATCAAAGATAAATCAACGAATCATAAAGGCACCGTTCTGATTTGAGAATTTAAGGGCATCATAATATGGCTTCCATTTTTTTCATAAACATACAACATTTGTACATAACCTCGCTAAAGATTCCAGAATTTTGATAATTGGCAACCTTCAAACTTTACATTACAATATACCCAAGCAATCATTAACCACCGTACGATCTTCAACAATAAGAAAAACCCATACCGAATAATGAGCTGTAAAAGGCCTCGAAATGAAAAGTGTGAAACAATTCAAACGAGAAAACTAACGGCATAATTAACAACCACTTAATTACAGGCTCCTGATTTGGGACAGTCACATAAAGAATGTGGCGTGTTTAAACACAAGAACAAACTAAAATACAATAAACAAATATGACAGCAACAAAAGACAACCACTGAGTTACAAACTACAGGCTTGTGACAGACACATACAGAATGTGACGGGGTTAAACATGTTTGTGAGCGCTCAGTCCTCCCCAACCTGGGACAGTGGTGTAACAGCACAACGTTAAACAAACTGTAAAAATCTGTTGCAAATGGCTTAACTCAATTGATCGCTACGAAGCATAAAGACGACTAACATAAAAACAACAGACCCAAAGCACCGATATAAAAATACTCGCAGTAACTGAAAGCTAGTTCCAAGCCAATCACAACTATAAACCATGTTCTACCAAGCTAAAGTATCAATCTGTACACATCCAACTGATTGAGGTTAAAGACGTCATAAACAGTCTGAGAAACGCACGACCTTGTGCAATGCTAAATTGTACGTAAACAGTATCGAATGTAGTATCATGAGTAGTACTCTATACGGTACATAAATATTTAGTTATGTTTTAATATTTCAAAAACAAAATCTATGTTGGTACCGACAAAAACAATATTTAATTATTTTACAACGATGTTAAATTGATAACCTTTAAGAATAAGTTTATTCAAAGGATCAATGAGTTTACGTGGAATGTATTTTAGTTGACGGGCTCTATAAATAACATCACCGAACAATTAGGATGCAAAATACCGTTTTAGTCATAATTCGACAGGTACAGCCGATTTTTCAAACCAAATCTTTGCATCTATGAAATAATTTAGTTCTAATTTATTAGTGGTAACGAAATCCCTGGCCTAATAATTTTCCACATAAATCATGTTCATTGAAATCTAAAACGTCTCAACAGATACGGACATAACGAACACGTTGTGAAATATACAACATCGTAAGAAGGGATCGAAGGAACATTAACGTCGAAAACGGGGAAAGAAGGTTGGTGTTGGAAAGTGCATCCGTCCAAACAATTTTCAAATTTTCTGCATGTTACTTGAGAT